ACTTCTTTTATTAAGAAAAGAGAATACTTGCGGGTTATTCGTGTTTAATACTTTAATTTAAAATGTCAATATAGTGTTGTTAATGCTATGACTATTTCATGTTTTTATTAATACGCCATCGAGCCCTGGAAATGACTTTTGCTGAAAATAAAATGTTCTCGAGAAAAAATTATTTATTTTTTAAAATTATCTTTAGACAAAGTACTCGTTAAATTGCAGATTTTAATTATGAAATTTTAGAAGCAAAGCTATGAAAGAAAGACTTTGAAAATATTAAAGAACTAATTAAAAGATCTGCCACATTATATTTTCATATTCTTAAAAGTGCGATATTTCAAAAAACGAATAATTTTCGATTAACTTTTTGTTCATGTTATGTTTATGATATTTTTCACACTTTTTTTATGTTCTAATGTTCTTTTTTTATGTATTTTTAATGTTCTAATACTTTATTTATTTTGTTTATTGTTTTCAATGTTTTTAATGCTCTAATGTTTTCATTGTTTTTAATGCTCTAATGTTTTCAATGTTCATAATACATTAATGACTTCATGACGCATGTTAATTAGATAAATTAAATGAAAAATAAAAATAAATTAAAAAAATATTTCAAAAAACAATTAATAAATATTTCTTTTTTATTAAAACCAAAAGCCTTCAACTCGAGATTCAGGGTAGAGCATGGTGATTAGGGAATAAAAAGAGCATATGAAACTAATTGAAATACAAAGAGAAAATTTATGTTGTTTTAATTGTTAAAGGACTGGTTTTAAAGGGTCTATTTTTATATCCTGTTCTTTTCTGAAGTCTGGTTCGAATTCTCTCTGTGACAAGTTTTATTTTAAGACTGAATGACTTTTCATTTTCTCGTAAAAATGAGTTTTATGTGTATTTTTTGTAATTATTTTTGGTGTAAATATACGCTAAAATTTTTACACTTAAATTTTTTGAAGTGAAAAAAGAATTTAAAAAAAATTTTCATTACGGTTTTTTTAAATGTAGTTAAAATTTTTAAATTCTTTCCTTAATGTTCTATATTATAACTTTTTACAGTTAACTGCTGACCCTTTTTTGCAACCATGTGTTTAATGCATAAATTATTTTACCAAAATTTTTTATTTTAAATTTGGTTCTCTTTTGAGTGTCGTCATACTTAGGTTATTTGCATTGATAACATAATTGGGATAAAATTTCTGTTCCTTCTTTTTATAATATTTACGCATTTATTGCGTAACAAAAATATTTAAAAATTTGTCCTTATAAAGACATACCATTTGGTGTTCACTTTAATAATGATATTGTATATCTTACTGCCGTCGAAGATTGCTGTTTTTTAAAGAATGTGTCCGTTTCATTTTACTCTCCACGCATGTGCACACATGTTTCTGGTTCCGTCTACTGACGTCATTATTGCCGTATTATGACGTGTTTACATCTGTTTGTGAGCGTCCTCCCGAATGTTCAGTTCTACGAACGCAAAGAATGTTAAGCCTTAAAGAGATTTTTAAAAATATGATGAAATGGTGCGTTCGTCATTTTAAAGATGGACGAAGAATGGAGACGACAATCTTTAGTTGTTTGGCTGCAAAAGTGAATAAACAAAATTTAGACGTTTCACATTAAAAATAAGTTCCCACAAATTTCAAAAATTATTTTGCATAAAATAGTCGGAGCAAAGAAAAAAAAAACATTTTTCTTTTCTTGAAAAGGATATAGACAAGTTGGAATACGACAAAAATCTAAACAATGTCAGCTCTCTGCGGATATTTTTAAGTGTTCCAACTTGAATTATTTTCTCGAAATATTCGCATAGTTTTTCCAAATATCTCTTGGCGTATGGGCATATTTGCCTGGGTCGCCGTAACTAAATTCCTTTCCAAATATCTCTCTTGTCATACAGTGATTTTGAGGAAGGAAAAGGCCAGCTCATGACTGGTGAAATAAGGATATCATAGGAAAAAAATGCTTGTATTTAGTTATTTTAGAGAGGGGTATGAACCGAGAAAAAGCTGGCCAAATATCTCAACGTTTTGACAAACTGTATCTTATGTAATTCTTAGGAGGGGTACTAGTTACGAATCAGATTTGCAAAATTGAATGTAGTCAATCCAGTATGTCGGTGAAAAATGATTATATTGACGATATTTTGCAAACACGTCAGTAAATGAATATTTATTTTCGGGATTTATCATCACCGTTATAATCTTACTTAATAAAAATGCTGATAAAGAGTTTTTATTGTTACTAAAAAAGCATTTTTATGGAAATAATTTTAAAATTTTCTTTTCCAAACTGAGGAAACAATTGGGGTTAGAAATTAAATATTGCTTTAGAGAAAATTGTTAAAATACTCAAAAAATGGATAAACACTCGATATTTCAAATATCGTGCATAATACTAAAATTTATTTATTGTGCAATATTATGTCAACAGTATATTTTTGATAATAATTTTAATTTCTTTTATTAGACAGAATAAGTAATTGTGAATTTGCTCCAAGTCGTTTCTTAAACCGATTTTTGATATATACCGTTGAAACAAGATTGGACTCTGTTTGCAGGTTACGAACTTCTTTAAAATTTAGTCCTACCAATAAATTATGAACTCAATCAGTTGAAGTACATTGTTCTTTTTACAAAGCTATGAAAGCCTTCTTTTGCAAGAAAAGGTTTCGTCAATGCAATATCTAAAAGAACAGTCAAAATTATTCATTCTAGCTATAATAATCAATTAAACATTTACCTTTCTGTTTTTGAATGCATACAAGGTTTGCCAGCACAATTTAAAAATTCTCGAGAGAAACTCACAGATTATGTTTTCAAAATGTTTATTTTTAATACTTTTAGAGCTAATCTGCGCAGATATTTATTTATTTATTTTATTTTACTTCAGTAATTTTTAACTTTGATTATTTCTATTGTATTTACGTTCTTTTACAAATACAAAGCAATTTTATAGCTGTCGAAGACAACCAACATTTTTGAATTCAACCAAGTTTCTAAAAAACCAGCAAACGAAATACAATGTCGGTGAGCATTTTATTCTGGGTGCAGCTCAAAATACGTGTTTAACAAAATGGACACAGCTCAAAATGTGTATTTATGAAATCAGGCAAAGCTTAGAATGAGACAATGAACTTTTTTGTGTGTTTTTGAAAATGTACACAGCTCAAACTGCCTTTCAGAAAATAGAAATAGTTATTTACGAAAATAGACGTAGCATTTGATTCTGTTTTTCACTCTTATATGAATTTTCTTTTTTCTAAAGAATAAACTAATAAATTCAAATAAATTCGTAATTTTTTCTCATGCATTTTACAAATAATTTTATAAGTATTTAATAGTAATATTAAATTCACGTTGTACGAATTTATATTTTTCATCGTTTAGAATTCTGAATTCGAAGAGATTACATGAAAAGTTAAAGAGTAATATACTCAGCCAACCCGACTATGAAGTATGGAACTTAGCCCGTAATAATTACGCTTGGTTCTTTAAAAAAAGTAAGGAAATGTAAGTCCTAGTTTAGTACTTAAATTTGAGTTGAACATTGAAAAGGCGTATTTTTTGGCTGTTGTTCATTTTCTAAAACATGCATTTTGAGCAGCGTTCGTTATTTAAACATGGTTTTCTTTAAAAATAAAAAAATAAAAACAGTTTCTTGTAGAAGATTTTTATCTCTCCTCCGGTGCTTTTTTTCCAAGTCCTTTTTTCCGGTGCTTATTTTCCAGATGTTTTTTTCCGGAGCTTTTTTTCGTGATTACAGTTCTGGTTATGTGCGAGAAAGCTTATGCGGGTTCTAAATATTATTAACTGGACTGATTCGTTTTGATTACGCATATTTTGAACAAAAATAATAAAAAAATCTATTTACATGAAGAAAAAGAATATGACTCCCGCAATTATTCCAGTAGTTAGCGAGCAAAAACAGGCCAAATTCGGAAAAAATTGCCGACAAAGTTTTTTTTCAGTTTTATCGCTTTGGTTGTGTCTTAATATGAATTAAATAAGATTTCCCCCATCGAGGAAGTGGGCGTCGGCTCCGAGATTAAAAAACGTGACTTGAAACAAGGTGTTTTTGCGGGTTTTCTAAATATCTCCCTGATAACTCTCTTTATAAAAAAAAGTGTAGCAGCAGTAGTAGTAGAATAGTTGTAGAACAATAAATTTCGCATACAGTAAGTATCAATATGACATATTTTGTTTCAAACAGGCTTATTTACCTATGATGAAATTTGACCTAAATTGTTAATTTTTTTAAGGAAATTTCATTTTGCCAAAATTGATGCTGAAATTATACATATTATAGTAACACTATTGTTTTAATAACATCTACTTCTTTGTTGCTTTGACGGCTTTTTTTACACTAATAATAAGTTCTTCAATTTTTTAACTATTCTAAATCTCCCCCATACGTCGAGATGAGCGAATGTCAGGAAACATGATGTGAAGATATTAATTAATTAATTTTTTTGTTGAAAAAATTGTTCGCTTATTCTAGAAGTTTGTTTTAATTGTTTAAAATGCTGTTGATGCTAATGAAGATGATGATTTTGATAATTTAAAGACAATCTTGATGAGTGGAGGAGAAAATACAATCAGGGCTGAGGAAATATTGCTGTTAGAAATGTTTTTGACAACAGTTGAAACAAAACAAAAAAAACCTTCCAAATTGAAACCCGTAACTACAGGCCTAAATAAAATTAAAAATCGTTCAAGAGCTCTACAATCGAGATGAGCGTCGTCATGATATGTCGAGATGAGCGAATGTCAGGTAACATGATGTGAAGATATTAATTAATTAATTTTTTTGTTGAAAAAATTGTTCGCTTTTAATTCTAGAAGTTTGTTTTAATTGTTTAAAATGCTGTTCTTAATGAAGTGGATATTATTTTAGATTTAATTTTTCTATCAATGACAAATTCTCGACAATTTTTATTACCAATTTGTTATTCTAATTCCTTAAATAGCTTATTTCGGACGAAAATAAGGTGACAAACATTGAAAGAAATTTTTTAATTGGGATAGAGGATATGCTCAATGAAAAAATAACAACAGTTCAGGAACCTTTTCAACGATGATAGCAAAAGAATGTCCACGCTCCTTCAGAAACTTCAAAGGGGAAGCTTTTCGGTGAAATAAGCAGATTATATGATTGGGGAAACTGTAATAACAGCTACCCGAGATCATGATTTGGTTAGCGAAGATCATTTCATCTTATTCACGGAATCGGCATCCCCAACAGCCTTTTTTGAAACCAGGTAAAGGTAAGTCCCAACCCATGAATGGTTTTCAACCATTAAAAAATTATCTTCTCATCCTTCATGTCTATGGGTTTGTGATACTAATTTTCAGACAATGAAAAAAGAAATGCATGAATCTGCAAGTTCGGAATAAAAATCTTCTAGTAAAAAAGAAAATAAACAGGAGATAATAGAAGGATCAGGGCAAAGATTCCTAATAACCTTCTACGGAGGTAAAAAAGGAAGATAATTTAAATACCTTAAGATAAAACATTTTTTCAAAATCCTTTGTTGAAACCAAGTTTAACATGGTTCCCTTACCTTCTACGATTGAAGCCGCTCGTCTCTTGAGGATTTACCTGCTAGTTCAGATATAGTTAGAAAACATGCTGAATCCTTTAAATTGGGGATGGCAAAATACCAAATATTGAACATTATACTATATTTTCACAAACAACGAATCTGATCCACAGTTACTTTTAAAGATTACATTTTTCAAATGCCAAAAATGCTGTATAGACGCTTGCTATTGCCGAAAATCAGGTGTAAAAGGCTCTACAATTTGTGAAAATTGTAAAGGACACTCATCCTTTACAATTACATGTATTACTCATGTATCCTTAACAGTAGGGTTTTGCTGATGAAGATACAGATGCTAATGAAGATGATGATTTTGATACTTTAAAGACAATCTTCATGAGTGGAGGAGAAAATACAATCAGGGCTGAGGAAATATTGCTGTTAGAAATGTTTTTGACAACAGTTGAAACAAAACAAAAAAAAAACATTCCGAATTGAAACCCGTAACCACTGGCCTAAATAAAATTAAAAATCGTTCAAGAGAGATCTAGCAAATAAGAACTTAGTAGTTTTTCACAGTATTGTCCTAGATTCTCAGATTTCGATACAAAGTGGAGTGAGCAAATACGAGAGTTGTAAAACGTGTAGGCATATATTTTTGATAGCTAACACTAAAATTTCAGAGAAAAAGACATTTCCTTTTTATATGACTATTTAAGATACAAATAATTTGACGCCTATTGAGCGTTGTTGTTCAAAATCAAAGTTTAACAGGAAACAATCAATTGACAAGCTTGCAATTTTCAATTTCTTCTCGACGTCATTTAGACGATTATTACGCGTGCCGTGGAGTGCCAAGATTAAAGAAGGCTAAATAATAACAGATGTTACAAAAAAGTTCAACTTCAGCCACAGTGTTACCTCAAGGCTTTGGAAATTATTTCAAACAACGGGAATGTGTAGCGGACGTCACGTGGGAGGTCATCTTCCATATACGACGCCTGCAAAAGACAGATATATAGTGTTATCGAAAAAAACGAGCCAGCGGAAAATTAAAAATTTTATTTAATGCCCACTTAAGAAAACATATTACTTATGTTGAATCAAAAATAAAAAATAAAAAATGACCGAACTCAACTGTCGAAGAGAAGAAAATTCTAAATATACTTTTAATATTCCTCATTTAAATTTCATAAATAAACTGATGGTTTACTCTATTCGGTTTTCGATACAAGGCGAGTCAAAACTTGAGCTCATGCGGTATTCTCTCTCTTTTTGACAAAACTATACAATCAGCACTTCTTGAAAAGTAGTTGTCTGTTTTTAGATTTCTGATAATTGTCTTTGTATTTGAGGCAATTAACGTTAAAAGAATACAAATCGGTGTTCACCAATTAACACTGTAATAAAATTAATTTTAAAAAAAGACATCTAAATACTGACAGGTGTGTAGTCTTAAATTACTTACCACAAACCTCGTAATTGTACTGCTTTAAATTTTTGAGGAAAAATTAATAAAAACTATTTTAAGCACTATTTTTCCTAATCTAATATATGATCCCCTTTCCCCCCCAATTTTTTAAAAATATTGTATTGTCAAATTATATTATATCAACAAAAATTTGTTAAGTACAACAAAAATATCACCTAAAATCCAAGAACGCTTAAGTAGTTTATTTTTTAATTAAACGGATCTTTCTTTGCGTTTCCCATAGAGAATTCTCGCCTCATAAAAATAATTTCTATACAAGAATATGTGCTGACATTTAATTAAGTAAAAACGCTTCATTTAATTTTGCGTCAAATAATTTCTTGTTTAATTAATTTTTGCCAGCTTAATTACAATAATTAATACAATCATATTGCATAAGTTATAAATGTAATTTGACATTTACAATTCATTTCCGGGTATTAACATCAACGACTTTCAATCGATATTCAATTTAAATACCAAAATGTGAGGAAAAGAATGATTAATAATTAATCCCATAACGTTTATGACTTATTTCAGTAGATAATTAAAATTGTAATGATATACATTTAGTTCTTTAAGATTTCAATATTTATTGAGTTTATATATATACTTAAAAAACTTTTTTTATTACGTAACAACTACATATAAGTTAATTAACTTCTAATTGAAACTAAATCATCAGATGAAAAACCATAAATATGGATTTATTCAAAAAGTAATAACATGAAAAATACAAAAAATAAAATAATTATTTTCTTCATCATATAAATTAACATAATCTTTATAATACAATTCCATAGCAGGAAGGTAAAACTTTTGAAAATAAAAATATTTAATTTTTGACTTTTATTGTTAATTAAATTATATTATTCAAGTGAGACTATCTCTAAAAATATTAGAATTAATTTGGGAAATTCAAAGAAAAAGAAACGTTTTAAGAACATTTCCTCACCAGAATTTTTAGGCCAATTGACAGTCATTCAATATAATTATTTAAAACTGTAGTTAACAAAGATCATGACTATTAGTACACTGTGAAAACTGTGGTGTAATACCTATCCGTATTCGATGTCGAAAAATTGGAGTTGTTTCAATTTAATTCCAAATAGAACGCAGTCTTACAAATGAGAACATTTACACAGAGGTCAAATGCTTTTATTCTATTCATGAATTATTTTTCGCTGTTCTTGGCGTCAAAAGAACCATCGATATTTTCTGTTCAAATTGAGCGGAGGGGACTTTGATCATTTAACAGAAACAATTAATGAAATTCATATAAAAATGCATTAATTATTTTAGTTGTATAATATATTCTCAAAAGATGATGTACATAAATCCGTCAGTTATATAAAATAATTTCATAATCTTAAATTCCAGTTCACTTCGGTTTTGTTACTTCGAATTCATGTTAATATTCTCTGCATGTTTGATTAACAAACTAGTTTTGTTTTAAGAAATTTTGTATATATGCAACCCAAATTTGCACTACGTGGTATAAAATTAGCTGCCATCATTTTGTTATTCAGTAACACTAAAATTGTCATAATTACAATAAGATATGATACACATAATACGAGTCAGTAAAGTTGTTGTCATGATACAATATAAAGAAAGAATCATTAATTTGGAATGCATGAATACAATATGTTTCAAAATGAAACTAATTTGTTAATCATACACAGAGAGAATCTAATATGAATTTGAATTAGGCTTAACAAAACCAAAACTGAAAAAAGTTAAATATTGCAAAATTATTTAATACAATTGACAGATTTATGTAAATCTTATGAGAATATAAATATCTTTATTATACAGCTAAAAACATACATGCCTTTCATAATCTCGGTTTCTGTGAAATTTTCAACGAGACAAACCTGTTAATGTGTTGTAGTCTGACGATTTTCACTCGAAAATAATATTTAGCTTCCTTTATAATTGTCGTTTAGATTTAACTTTAAATAAAGCACTGGATAGTGTATTTAGTGGGTAAAGGAAATTGTCATGGAGAATTCCAAAAATACCACCAAAAAAGGATTACTAAAATTGAAGGATTAAAATAAACAAAGGACACCAGTAACATTTTTGGTGTAAATAGTTGCCAACATTTTTGATGTTCAGTAACACCAAAATTTAGTACGGAGAATAAGGATGTAATAAACATAAAAATCAGCAACTTCGTTATTACGTTTACATTACGAATAGAATGCATACAATTTTAGAAATAAAATAATTGCGCTCAAATAAATTCAAATTACACAAAGCAGAAATGGAGATATTTCAACAAATTTCTCGATCATCACACCAAAATTCGAAATAATTCAAGAATGGTGTAAGTACATATTATTGGTGATTAAAAGTGTATAGGAAATTACTTGAATTTAAGTATTCAACACCAAATTCGGTGAATCTAGGCAGATTAATTCATTTGCTACTTTTGTAGCATTTATTAATGGGCACCAACATTACAAAATACTGTATATCATTTAAGGCTGTCTATTTTAACAAAGTTGTTTTATATAGACTATTCTAAAAATCCACGCATTGCATGTTTTTTAGAATCATTCACTACCTTCAAAAAACAATTTGTACTCCAAACATCAAGCTGCACCAGAAGAACAATTTAGCAATAACTATAATTTTAAATTTTCCTTCAGTTGCATGTCGTTTCTTCGAAAGCCTGTCCTTAAATATTATAATTCAATTGAATTACAAATCTAGTTGTTCTGAAATTTTAAAACTTCGAATTAAAGAGGCTCATTAGTTTCTATTAAAACATCAGAAGGAAACTTATGATTTGTTGTTGTTATGTTGTACGTTGTTTTGAATCCAATCCAGAAGACAAGAGAATTTCTAGAATCAAGTCTTGGGAGAAATTTTGCCTTCGTGGAGGACTTTTTGATGAGACTAATCGGCATTTGCGCTACAAGGAGAGGAAAACCTCGAAAACTTTCCACGGTTAGCCTGATAGCAAGGGGACTCTAACCCACGATTAGATCCCTCTACAACTGAGGATATTTTACGTTAGCATTGTGGTTGGCGCGAGCCTGGTGAGGAATTCATATCGACCAACCATGACTGGTATTCGAACCCAGTTCACCTCATTGCAAGGCGAACGCTCTATCCCTAAGTCACCCCGGCTCGCCTCCCTATATTTTCACAATTGAAAGCAGTGAAAAACTTTTAATCGGGTTATTTTTTCAATCACAGTGAAAAAAATATATATTGTATGCCGGCAAAGTTAGATATTTAAGAATTGATAATTTTTAGTTTTACATTGTGACATCACAGTTAACTAACTGAATTAAAATAGTGGAATAAGCAAGATTAATTAAGGACAATCAATATGTGCTTCAAACTTACAGTGCTTATAACATCAATCGATTAACAAGCTAAGATAAAATTACTCTCACCTTAAATTAATCAGTCACACACGCGTAAAGGTTCATATACATTTTAAAACAATAAATTCAGAACTACGTTTTTTAAGTGATCTAAAAGGGAAACAATTTTATTTTTGTGAGGTTTAAAACAGAGAAAAAGGTAGGGTGCAGCACTTGTGAAAAACGACGGGATTTTATTGCTTAAATGATGCACCGTTGTTGAAGAATTGATACTTTTTAGATCTGACTCTGGAAAATGATTTTTAAATTGTTTAGTTTTACTTCTCTAAGTTTTTTAATGTTCCTACAATAAAAAGGTAGAAACTTTGAGCGATAAAATAGTGATAAATTTTGATCGCACCATTTAAAAAACGATATTAACTTCACACACTGGTTAAATTCTGAGCACAACAGTCTGTTGGTATGATCGAAATTTCGATGAACATTAAGTTCTCTTAGATGGTAAATACCTAGAAAAATTCCGTTTATGGCTGTTTATATCTGTAAAAGATTGATACTTGTATTATCATCATGTCATATGCAGAACTCCAGTTAAAATTTAAACTACTAGCTAGTCTGTAATTAGTGAAAAATTTCAATAACGATACATTTCAGAAACGATAATGGATTTCTGCTTATGGTCAGGGTTCTCAGATACAGGGATGCAGTTTAAAAGGTCTAAAATTTTGATTACAAAAAATTCACCTTGATGATAAAATGGTGACCTTCTGTAGAGATCACGATACTATTAAAACCATTATTGTTCAAAAGTGAGTTAATAAAAATGAAGTAAAATAAAAGTTTTTAATAAATTTGGTAATTTAATACAATTGGGTTGTCATTTTTACGTGTCAACAGGTTAATTGAAGAATTGATTATTTTGAGAAAATATCCAATAAAATTGTGCCGTAAAAATATTATCAATAGTATAATAAACGAATTCTTAGAAATTCTTAGAGTTCTCCTCGCCTAAATTGATTGTGGTCATTAAATAGAATACTTGCAAGAAAGTAATACAAAAACATAAGGATAAGTCACAAGGTAAGTCACCGTTCGGAAATTTTAAAATAAAAACTTTAAAATGTGGATTGTCCCTAGCAAAGAACCACTTATTATTAAAATTAATATATTTTCTATCTACTATCTT